GCAGCTGATGATTATTACGTTGCTGTTGTTGTTGTCGTTGTTGATGATGATGGTGATGGTGATGATTATGAGGCTGATGATGCTGATGATGCTGATCATGAGGATGATGCCAATGCTGTTGATACTGCTGATGATGATGGTGATGCTATTCTATTATCATGGTGATGCTGATGATGATAGTGATGCTGATGATGAAGATGATGATGCTGATGATGCTGCTGCTGATGATGATGGTGCTGGTGATGATGCTGATAATGACGATTATGATGATAATGACGATGATGGTGATGATAGATGATGATGCTAATGATGCTGATGATGATGATGCTGATGATGATGATTCGACTGCTGCTGCTGTTGATGATGATGATGATGATGATGATGAGGAGGAGGAGGAGGAGGAGGAGGATGAGGAGGAGGAAAAGAAGGAGGAAGAGGAGAAGGAGGAGGAGGAGCACGAGGATGAGGATGATGAGGAGGAGGAGAAGACGGGGTGAGTCTGGAGGACAATCGGATGGGGAAGTTCAGGAGGAGCGGCAGCGACGCCGGGCACTTCGGCGAGGCCATCCGCTCGCCCCATCCGGCAGGTGTCGCGCGGCTTCGGGCTGCCGCTCGCCCCGATCAAGTCGATGCACGACGCAGAGGTCGAGTCGGAGCTGGAGGAGGCCCAGAGGGCTTTTGTTTACGGGCAAGGGATGACGACGACGGAAACGACGACGACGACGCTGACGCTGTTACAGCTGCTGTTGGTGGTTGTGGTGATGATGATGATGATGATGGTGGTGGTGATGATGATTGATGATGATGATGCTGATGATGATGCTGCTGATGATGATGCTGATGATGATGATGATGATGATGATGCTGATGATGATGATGATGATAATGATGCTGATGATGATGATGATGATGATGATGATGATGATGATGATGATGATGATGATGATGATGATGATGATGCGGGGGGGGTGAGGAGGATGATGATGAGGAAGAGGAGGAGGAGGAGGAGGAGGAAGAGGAGGAGGAGGCGGATGAGGAGGAGGAGGAGGAGGTGGAGGATAACTGGGATAACTCTTCAAGAGGGGGATGCGTCCGTGACGCACCCCCTCAGTGTTCTATACGATAACACACAATCGTTAAAACCCTCTCGCTCCCCCCTCTCCACCTCCCCGCCGCCGTCGGAAGTCCTTGACGTTCGATCCGACGACGGGCAGTGGCGCTCTGCCGCCACCAGCGCCTTGGGGGATGGGCCAGTCCTTGCCAGCCTTGGGGGGGAGACCTCGACTCAGACGGTTCAAATAGTTGCGTCCCGAATTGGTGCGCTTTTCGGGACAGAGGTTGACCAGCTCACGCAAGTGACCCCCACTCTGGACCACTGTCCCGAATCCAGCACACTTCCAGCACCACGCAAGTCCATTCTGCATAGCAATAGAGTGAGAGCTGTGGACGAATCGATCGCCCACTCTGAGGGTGTGCACACTGGTGGGGGGAACTCTGACGTGGTGCCCCTGCTCACTGAGGGCTCGCTGGGCTAAATCTCCTGGGCACAAGAACGCCTGGAGCCACTCTTCTAAGGAAAAACGGCCTGGGGTCTGGCGGCACAGCTTGCAGGACCAAAGACCATTCGAGAGACGCTGCATCTGATGGCCAGCTCTGGCCTCGAGCTCTCCCGCCCTCGACAGCCCCGACTCCGAACCGAGCGACCCACCGAACTCCCCACGGTCCCCCCGATCTAGTTCAGAGCAAACATGGGCCAACATCGCCCCTATCCTCTGATGCACCAGGGTGGCTCTGGCATCAGCAACGTTCAGAGCTTTGATGGCACTACGGATGGGGGCGGCGGCGGCCTCAGCACCTCGTTGGGCCAGCTGATCGGCCATCTCGTTTCCCCGAGACACTTCCAGATCCTGGCCTACGCGCATGTGGGACTCTGCATCCAGGTGCGAAAACCACTTCTTAAGCACAACATGCCCTTCGCCCCTGCTCTGCAGGGCCGCTCTCACCCGAGACCACCACCGAATTAGCGGGCCCTGCGGAGCGGAGGCGAAGCCTTTACACCATCCCTCAAAGACAAGAGCACAGTCGGACCACAGTTCTATGGGTCCCTTGGTGACCTTAAGGGCCCAAACCAAAGCGGCGAGCTCACTAGCAGGCACTGTCTGGGGTCCATCAATGGTCCCGAACAGCCCGCGGAGGACCCCACGTTCCACGTCCAGCTCCGCCTCGCCCTCCACGCGGAAGTACACCCCCCAACCCACACGGCACACTCGGGCATCGCTGGACGTGGCGGAGCCATCAAGGAAGCCTACCTGCGCCTGGAGGGGGAAAGTAGAAGACGGGAGGAGCTCGAAGGAGGAGTCGAGGCCAGGAGGGGGGAGCCCTACAGCCCAAACCTCTTGGCCTTCTCCAGAGTTCCACTCGGGGGGCGGGGGCACAGGGTTCCAGGACGGGGGAACGATCCCCCGTGTCCAGAAGCTTACATTCGTGCCCTCACTCAGATCTTTCAAAGCATGCTCACACAACGACTCGGTTCGGGAAACCCACTCATGGTCGATGTTGGCATTCGCCTGGCACTCATACAATCTGTGAGCAATCGTGTCTTTTCCAAGCTCGCACCTCGGGCAAACGTCATCGCATTTGTAGCCTGAGGATTTGGCGCGAGCCTTCGTCCAGATGCAAGCCAGAGCATTCGCCTCCAGCGCACCTGCCTCACGATGTCGGTCCTGGCGACGGAGCCGTCGCAGGTTGACCCGCAGCATGTGCATGTCGCCACCCTCGTGCAGCCCCTGCCCTGCTGGATGATCGCCAGCCTGCTGCCAGAGGTCGCGCCTGACGGAGGAGCACAGAGCCTCGTACAACTCGTCGTAGCTGTCCGCGGCATCGCCCATGTGCTTCCACTCGTTCCCCTGGTCGTCGAGCCAGTGGTCTGGAGCTCGCGGGGCCCAGCCGAGCTCGCGCAGCATCATGATGAGAGCCCCCATCGGGCCCGTCACGCACCGCCATCGTGAGCGGGGGCGCAGGTATATCAGCCTCTTCAGCACCGCTCGCCAGCCCCGTCGAACTCGTTCTCGCAGCTCTGGGTGGGCCTCCCAGAACTGGAACCACTGCGTGACCTGATCCTTGACCACGCTCATCTTGGGATCGTCGTCCTGGTAGTGGAGCAGCAAGACTGAGGCCGTGCATCTGCCACCGACAGTGTGTCCAGCCAAGTCTGCCGCTTGGGCACGCCTGCGCTCCATATCAGACGGCGCCACTCCCAGAACTGGAACAGCATATCGAAACTTCGCCTTGATGTTGGTATTGTGCAACATGACTCCTTTGGATCTGGTGCCGCCTCGACCGACTCGCCTGAACAGGGCTGTACGCGTGGCGCGAGCCTGCGCCGTGGTCATCCTGCTCTTGGTGGTCCTGGTCGCACGCTTGAGTCCCATGGAACAGTCCGCCCCAAGGTCCTTGGCCCAGCTGGCGCGCTTGATCTTGATACCCGTGATCCGCAAGACGTGCCGCTGGACTTTCACCTCATCCTTCACATTCGTCATCATCAAGAGCGACTTGGGGGAGACTCGGAGTCCCAGGTCCAGCATGCCCTGCACCAGCTCGCATGTGATCGTCGTAGTATGGTCCAGCACCATCTTTCTTGGACCCTCCACTCGCGCGTGTACATCGTCGACGTGCTGCCTGATGTGAGCCAACGGGGCCCTCTCATGAGCCCTCCCCAACAGTCGGTACAGGAAGACTCTTGCACAGTGATTGGCCTTCCCGCAGCCTGGTACGATGGAGCAGTTCGGCACGATGGGCTCGGCGCAAGCCCCTTGGGCCTTGACCGCACGAGGCGACATGTACGTCAGGCAGCAGAGGTACAGCTCCACCGCAGGAAATTGAAGCTCGATCGCCTGGAGAATCATCTGAGCCAGGTCCATATGATCATAACACTTCTCAACATCTGCCAGAAAATTGTTCTGCTCGTTGAGGCCGATGCGCGCCCGAGTCTCGTCCAGGACCATGGCGAGGAGGGCAGCTTGGAGCGCGCTGCTGCCTCTCACCGCCGCATCCCAGTGCGCGGCCCTTTTGTCGCGCCACTCCGCCAGGGGGGACTTGGTGAGGCGCCCCCAGATCCTGACGGGCATTGGCAGGAGGCCGATGTCCCTCTCGTTGCCCAGCTCCTGCTTCTCGCCCTTGGGCAGCAGCGCGAACCAGTTGTGCAGCAGCTGGTGCGGCCATGCCAGCCCTCGCTCGATCATGTTGAAGAGCGCGACGAGAGACTCCTGCCCCTGGTCCGAGAGGGCCAGGATGTATGCTGGCTTCCACTGGTCTGGCCCCGTGCCCGTGCCCTTCGGGAAAGACTTGAGTGTCGCCACCAGCTGCTCCCGAGTGTGGAAGGGGCGGTCGGCCAAGTCCTCGTGGGCACGAGTCCTCAGCGCACCGAGGGCAGCACGGGCTGCTGGAAGGCGGTGCGGCTGGGAGGTCCACCGCGCTGCCCAGCAGGCCGCTCTGACGTCAGTTGTGCCCTGGACCGTATCACATACCTCACCAGTGACGGGGTCGATGCAGGTCTCGTCCAGGGCGCGCTGCTCGTTCTTCTTCAGGTAGCGGTGAGCGCCCTTCATGGAGCCCTGCGCATTCTTGACCGCCCAGCTGCCAATCTCACTCCGCGTCTGCTGCCAAGCCAGGCTGGCGTGGCGGATCGAGCGGGCCTGCACCTTCAGCGCGAAGTTCTGCCACTCTGCGAAGTCCGTGCATGCTCGAATGCGCTCGCCCTGGCGAATAACCTGCTCATCATCTCTGAAAACTCTCCACTTTCCAGTCATATATTCTGCATGGCCGTCTGGAACTGGACCATGGCTGTCATGCTCTCTGCGCAGCTCGGCCAGTATGCTGGTCACGATGTCCTGAACCCGCTGCCGATATCTCGAATGCCGAAAACGACCTAGCGCCACCAGCTGCTCCTGCACCCTGGCATGCAGACTCGCCCACCTGCTGCTGAGGGCGTTGGCACTGGAGTGGCCGAAATTCGAATCATTCTTCTGAACCACAGCACGTCTCCACTGATACTTCACTGGCATACCTCGGCGGGCTCCCTGTCGCAGTTCAACCCCACAGAGATCTGCCAGCTGTGCCTCCGCCGCCATCGACCAGATGCCATACTGCCTCGCGAGAACCTCAGACATATGCGGGGCAGCTCTGTACGCCTCACTCCTCTGCACGTCTGGCTCGGCCTGGGGGAGGGAGTAACCGAGATCCTCGCTGGCCTCATACACGTACTGGATCCACTCCTGGTCCTCGCACCTCAGGGCCCGCTTGGTGACGTAGTGGTCGTCCAGCAGGTGGTCGTCATCGTCGTTGAGCAGGTCACCCGCATCTCCTGGATCTTCGCATGCTTCTCCCTGTCCCTCTGGAACCTCTTGAGGCCCTTGGGCGCCCTGGACTCACCCTCGGGAATCACCAAGGGTACTGGAAGCACTGGTACACGGAGGAAGACCGATGCGGGACGAGACCTGATGAGGATGTTGAGGCCTATGTGAGGGCCCCACGGCAAATTCTGCACTGGCAACACCTGGGATAAGAAGGGACGAAAGCTGTCTGGCACCACCGCGTAGTCAATCATGCGACCTTTTCCTGAAGTGCATGAGACCTCGACCCCCTCTGGGGTCACGACGCGAGCCCGAAGCACGTCCAACCAGCCCGACTTTGCCATCTCAGCAGGCGTGGCACTGAAATTTCCCACCAGCAGCCATGGCACATCCAGTGACTTGGCGATCCTGGCGATGTTGTGCATCTTTCTGGAGTTGGTCCCAGCCATGCCGATGGAGCAATCGAGATAACAAACAATGAAGGCGAAGGTAACCCCATGAAACCTCCATAGCACAACTGTCGTATCCCGAAGGGCATCATGAAACACACTCTTGCCAAGCGAGCCTGTCAGGTGAGTGCTTGTGGCGTAGGTGGCCCTTCGGAGCCAGCACGTTCCCCCGTGCGTGCCTCTCTCAGACCTGCCTGTAGCCGTAGCAGCTGTCCATGTAGCCTCTGACCTCCAACCAAAATTGCGAAGGCGCCTCTCCTGACCCTGGCACTGCACTTGGGACAAGTGGTGTTCTGCCATCCCCATGAGGTCATACGGCGCCGACTCTACGAACTTCTTCACCTTGAGGCTCCAGCTGGTGACGTTCCCGAAGAAGACCGAGACTCGATCACGCTGGCCAAATGGTACTCTATCTGCATTGTGGCGGGACGACGTGTCACCCACCCGACGTCTTGCCCGCGCCAGCTGCAGCAGCCGTTGCAGCTCCTCCCGAGCTGCCCGAGCGTGCTGCCTCAGCCGCTGCAGCCCTGGCCTTGATGGACGCCGTGCGCTGGATGTACGCCTCCACGTTCTTGACATCAGTGAAGTCTTGGTTTGACTCGCCTGGCTGTTCGTCATCCTTGGCCTGCGACTCGGCGCCAGCTGCAGGGGCCCCAGCCGCAACACCTGCGGCACCAGTGGCACGTCGACGCTTGTGAGTGGCTGTCTCCCGCAACCCCCGTAGCGTCTTGGCCGCGTCCTGCGCCTGCTGGCCGATGCTCTGCGCGTTCTTGTACACCTCCTGGGCCTGCTTGGCCCTGGCCAGCGCTGCCTCGTAGGCCGTCTGCTGCTCTGGCGTGAGGAGGGCGACGTCCTCAGGGTCCAGCTCGGGGAAATTGAGGGACTCGTCAGTAGCAGCCGACTTGCCTCCATCTCCTGCACCCATGGCTGCACCTCCAGCGCCCCTGGCTGCAGATGTCTGGCTAGTGAGGCGGTTGACCTCAGCCTGTGTTTCGGCGCACGCTCTGACGTTCTCCTCCAGCTTGACGAGGAGCTCCTTCCCTGTCCTGGCGTTGGCCACGACCTGGTTCTTGAGCTTCTCTTGCTGGCTCTGGAAACGGCGGAGACACGCTGCATGTTGTTCCAGTAGAACTTCTGGAGCCTTGGGAGGTACAGGTTTGAGCGCATCCGCCAGCTCAGGGCGCACCATCTCCAGCGCCTTGATGGTGTCCTCCTCTTTGGCGTCCTTGGCCGACCTGTACTTTGGCAGCAGCTGCTCGAGGAGGGTGCTGCCCGTCTCTCCGCTCTCCAGTGCGAGGGTGACTTCCTTCTTGCTGGATGGCTTCGGCCAGGGTACGTTGCACAATCGACACGATTCCCAGCCAGGGGTTCCAGCTCTGTTGCAATAAACCCAAGAGCGAGGACAATTGCGGCACACGTGATACGCCTGGCGGCGCTTCCCGTGGGTGGAAGGCGGTCTCGAGCCATCCCTGCTCCTCGCCCTCTCATTGCCGCTACGTCCCATCAAACAACTCGACACTCGACTTTCGCCGCCTGCAGGCGCCCCTCAAGCCGCGGGAGCCCGTAGCGCGCACCTGGTGCGCACCCGAACTCGGTACGCGCGAGTGCCGTGCGGTCGTCGGGCCTCTCCCAAAAGGACCTCGGGCCGCAGAAGGCTTGAGGGGAGGAGGGGGAGGAGGAGGGGGAGGAGGAGAAGGAGG